AAGAGGCAAGAAACCCTGCAGTGCAGGGATAACCTGCCTCCTGGGGATGTATCTGCCTAACAGCCAGCAGGTATCAGAACCACCAGGTAAGAGAGGACGTGGTTAGGACTTTCACTTGAGACCTTAGAGACCTGGGTTCAAATCCCTGCTCTGCCACACATTTCCTCTGTGATCTTGGCCCAGACCCTTCAAGGTATTAGGTTTCTAACTCTCATTGAAGTCAATGGGTCTCTATTCCACTGCCGCACAGGGACATTATGAGGACACCTGTGTTACAGATTGTAAAGTGCTTAGATATTGTGATCATGGAGGGCGGACAAGGACCCAGGAGAGAATCTGAGGTTGATTCATGTTCTGTAGCTTTCGGAGTAGTAGCCGTGGTACTCTGTATCCGCAAAAGGAAGAGGAGTACTTGTTAGTCTCTAAGGTGCCACAAGTACTCCTGTTCTGTAGCGTGTCTAGCCCTTTCCAATCTAAACTGGCGCTTCTGTAACAGAAACAGGTGAGGTTCTTTGCGTGGTTTGTGCCGTCCTAATTATACCTTGATTAAGTAGCCAGAAGCGATTAACTGCTAAGCAGCCCAGGTTTTTTCCCCCTCTTCTAACCGTTCCCTAGCAGGAGTAATGATAAAAACATGAAACATAAAATCGACCCATGAGCAGAGCTGTTTTCCTGTGTTCTACATTTAGAGCAGCAAGAAAACACAACAGCTGAGAACCATCTCAGGGCTTATCCCCTCCAGAAGGAACACTGAATACCCCCTAGATTCTCAGTTAAGCCAAGGCCACTTTACAAACCCCCTGGCAGTGTAAAGAAACCTTGAAATGGCAGGATGGTACCCACTTTAAAGTCTCTTGACACTACCAGAATGAGGCCTTTAGGATAAATGAGACTCATCCCCTCTATCACGGGTGTTGTCAGCTAAATCATAGTGAATAATTTATTTACTTCCCTTCCTTTTTGCAACTGGTCTGCAAACAGGCTGAAAAATTATCAAATGTGTTTGCTGATCAACCGGTATTTGGCTAGCTCTTTGGGTCTCACACTATCCAAAGTGCAACGCACGCCACGTCGGTTAGTTGCACGCGTCACACGAGACCACTGGAGCTGGTGGACATTTTTCAATCATCGACAAGTCGAAATAAATGTTGACAAAATGTTTGTGGCCTTGCCTTGCCTTTTTCCAGCCCTTTTGGGTTTGAAACATTTCAAAATATCAGTAAACTTGGGAGTGTTTTTATGACAATTTTCATGGTTTCTTTTCTCAAAACCAAGGCATTGTGATTCTGAAATGCTGCCATAGTGAATCATGGGAGTTGTAGTTCGGGTGCTTTATGCTTCCATTCTCCCTTGTGGGCTGGACTCACTGGTCATACTCCATCTCCCATGATGCACTACAGTCTCCCGTCTTGATGCATCATGGCAGTCATGTGGCCATGGTGCATTGTGGGAGATGTAGTCTGACCAGGGAGCTTAGCCAATAGAGGAGAAAGGGAGCATGAGGCCCTAAAACTATAATTCCTATGAAGCACATGGCGGCATTTCCAAACCAAAATGTTTCACTTTGGGGGCGTTCCGTTTTTGGATGAAACATCAAACTGTCTGCACAGAGCAGGTGTTTTTTGTGAAAAATTCCATTTAGCTGAAAACCTGATTTTCCCCTCAAACATCAGTTTTGATGGAAAATCTGCAATCAGCCTTCTGGGCTCAAGATTTCTGAATGATACCATAGACGGCTTAAATAGGAGAGAAGTTGGTGAATGATCAACCAAAATCTTGTGATTGGCTTAAAAAAACCAAAAACAAAACCCAACCTCCTGAGTTTTGAACACTGGGGGTTGGCCACACTTCCCCAGTAAAGAAATGTCTTCCTGTAAATACAGTTTTTAACTTAACCATTGCTTCCCCTTATGCCCATGTCAAGCCAGATTTTAAAGATGATTTCCCAGCACCCATAAATGGGGTAATGGAGTATGTTTTGGGCCCCCCACCACAGAAAGAATGTGGACAAATTTGAGAGAGTCCAGCGGAGGGCAATGAAAATGATTAGGGGGCTGGGGCATGTGGCTTATGAGGAGATGCTGAGGGAACTGGGGTTATTTAATCTGGAGAAGAGGGAGGGGGGATTTGATAGCAGCCTTCAACTACCTGAAGGGGGGTTCCAGAGAAGATAGAGCTCGGCTGTTCTCAGTGGTGGCAGATGACAGAACAAGGGTCTCAAGTTGCAGTGGGGGAGGTCTAGGTTGGCTATTAGGAAACACTATTTCCCTAGGAGGGTGGTGAAGCACTGGAATGGGTTCCCTAGGGAGGTGGTGGAATCTCCTTCCTTAGAGGTTTTTAAGGCCCCGCTTGACAAAGCCCTGGCTGGGATGATTTAGTTGGAGTTGGTCCTGCTTGGAGCAGGGGATTGGACTAGATGACCTCCTCCTGAGGTCACTTCTTAATTTTTTTTAAATATGGAGCTATACCTATCTCAGAACTGGAAGGGACCTTGAAAGGTCATTGAGTCCAGTCCCCTGCCTTCGCCACAGGACCAAATACTGTCCCTGGCAGATTTTCACCCTAGATCCCTAAATGGCCCCTTCAAGGATTGAACTCATAACCCTAGGTTTAGCAGGCCAATGCTCAAACCACTGAGCTATCCCTCTTCCAACCCTCATCTTCTCTGAGTCTATGATTTCCCCTAGTGCTCATCTCCTCTTGATGCCCCTAAATCAGGGCCAGATTTTTCACAAGGGCTCAGCATCCCATTAGGTTATTTAAAGCCAGACTTTAATGTTCTGAGCTCCCTTGACAATGGAGCCACTTATTTTGGTACCTTAAGGGGCTCTTTGGGAAAATCCACCTCTGACTGCGAGGGCCAAGCCCTGCAAAAGGTTCCATCCCCTTAGTTGTGACACTGGTGCAATTAAACTCCGCCGGCCAGGCTGGCGCTTTGCTCCTTCCCCAGCAAAACAGTGGCCCTGGGTTGACTCCAATCAAAATTTCATTTCTGTGAACAGGAAATGGGCCCTGCTCGTCCCCTGACGGGCTGGGATTTTGTGTTTGCTCAAGGGCTGGGAGCTGATTACCTTTTTGATTTGTCTCTTTTTGATGGTCCTTTATCACGATCTCCCCCACCCCACCCCACCCCCCACACACATACGGCCTACGTTAATTGCAGTATTGCAGAGCAATTCATAAATCAGATGGCTGGGAGTGAATTATAGCTATAGGGACAAGTGAATCATATTTTCTCCCGAAGAGCTTCTCTACACACAAGCTTTAATTACACTGGTATAGTTAAAGCAGTATGACACTCTCAGTTTTATTGGTATAAATGTGCTTAACTGTAGCCATACTAGAGGGGTAAAACATCTCTTTTCCTGGAGGCGGGGTCCCTGTGACCAAAAGGGAAAGAGCTCTACCATTCTAATAATTCCTACAGCTTTTCATCAGCAGATCTCAAAGCACTTTCCGAAGGAGGTTGGGATCATCCCATTTTCCTGATGGGGAAACTGAGGTACAGAGCAGGGCCTTGACTTGCCCTGGGTCACCCAGCAGGTCAGTGGTAGAGAAGGGACTAGAACTCATGTCTTGTGAGTCCCAGTGCTCTATCTCCTAGGCCACACTGCACCTTTATTATGTCCACACTCGGCGTTTGACGGATTTAACCCCATTCACTTGGAAGATCCTGCCAAACTCGTTCAATGGGCACAAACCCTGCGTGACGAACGGGTTTGTTCTCTCCCCACCCCCGACGTTCCTACTCGACTTCAATAGGAGCTGATGGAGCTCAGCACCAATCACAGTCAAGCCCTTAGGATGGATGTAACCCTTTTAACCCTTCATGTGCTGGATAGCGCTGTGGAACGTTCCCTTGCTAAGGAATCCAGCTGCTCCAGAGGTTCGGGGGAGGCTGGCTAACACTTGTGCTTCCACACAGCTGGAAGCATTACGAGGGGTTATGTTTTCAGCCGCGGTGTAGTGCCTCATTAACCTCTGTCCTGGAGTTAAATCAGGTGCTGGCAGCCGCGTCAGCGCCGCCTTGATTTAGACTTTGACACAGGCTGGAGTCGATAATACCTCACTCGAGCCCCATAAATCTGGAAGCCAGAGAGTTGGCTTCCCCCCCGCCCCCCAAGCTGATCTTGCTGAATCCAGCCTTGAAAACAGAGCCATCTTCTGTCTGGCCAGGGTTCGAGGCTGGGAGGCGCCCGGCAGAACAGAGATGGGCTATAAGAACAAGGACATCTGGGGTTTAATGTGAGTGGGCAAGGACCCCATGGGCTGCGCGTGTCATGTAGGAACCCCAGAAATGGATTCAGAGGTGAGTTTGTCTGGAGGGACCACACACACACGCTCACCCCTCTGCCCAGGGAAAGTTATGCCACTGTTTACTAAGCCAGACTGACCCGGGGTAACCAATCCCATTGGCCTCGGGGTTACAGTGCAGTTGACGATTGCTTTGGCCCCATGTGCTTGGTGGGTGGGTGGGTCGGGGACACTGCCCTGCTGGGAGGTCGTAGTTCAATTCCTCACGCCCCCTGCACTGCTTAGGCCTGGGAAATTGCCCCAAACGGGGGACGTGCTGCTCAGCATAGACGTCCCTCCCGCCCCAGGGCTGCCAGCGGGACTCTGACGAGGAAACCCACCTGGCCCTCTTCGGCGAGGGTGCCACGCCGGGCCTGTGGGAGGCGTTGCTCTGTAAAAAGCTCTTGCATCGGGGTTTGGCCATTGCGCCGCAGACCCGGCAGGAGGTGCGGAGGCCTCCTTAGAGAGGTCAAGAGGTGCACGCATGTAGGTCTTCGAGTCCCAAGCCCCCTTGTGGGGTGGAAGCGGGGAAGGTCCCGGGATCTGCAGGCATGGGCTGAATACCTCATTAAGATCTGGAGTCCTCTGTGGGTTTCAGTCCCTGGACGGTGGCAAGACCACGACAGGACGGGGTCTCCTGCGACGTCTGCCCTCTCAGCGGCTGACGGTGGCAAATGAAGCCAATGGAAACGTCCAGGAGGGAGCCACGAAACTCGAATGCAGGCGCCATCCGGCTCATCAGACCGGTCGTCAGCAGGGAAGAGGTTCGCTTGGCTCTGGGGCTTTTGTGGGATGCGCTGTGGAAATAAGAGCCACAAAGTCCCTCTTTGTTCCCCCCCAAGTCTTGGGGTGTTAGGGCTAGAGGAAGGAGCCCTGGCTGAAACTCCAGCGTCAGGTCCCGGCATTTCTAACAGGAATACAGTGGAATCGCTCTCGCCAGCCTGCATCACAAAAGACCTCCAGTTAGGTTGGGTGCAAAAGATCACGCCCCGTAGCACGACCAGTGCTAACGGCAGCCCCATGCCCTGCTAGCACGGGCTCCTCTGCTGTTAGCCCAAAAGCCATCTCTGTGTCTTAGAGGCCGTGATTCACCAGCGGTCACTTCGGCATCTCCTCATTGACGCCCGCCCCAGGGCCGTCCCTACCTCGTCCTGCGGGCTGGCCTCCTCGGCTCTGAGCTCAGGCACGACGGTGACGGTGGTGGACAGCAGGGCGTATTCCTTCTCTGCCACCTGTAGGCCGCTGGGGCTGCCCCTCCGGTGCAAGGGCAGTGCCACCTGGGCGGTGCCCTCGTCCCTTGCCTGGCCGGTGGAGGAAGGCAGGTAGGAGGAAGCCTGGGCCAGGAGGTTCAAGAAAGCATCTTTCAAAGCCCTGCGGAACTCCCTCCGCATCAGGCAGTAGACGACAGGGTTGAGGCAGCTGTTGCTGTGGGCCAGGCAAGTGGTGAGGGGGAAGATGTAGGTGTGGAGGAAGTAGAAGGTCTTGTCCCAGGGGACAGCCCCGAACTTCACCAGGGCTCCCCAGAAGGTCACCACGTGGTTGGGGAACCAGCAGACGAAGAAGGAGGTGACCACTAGCCAGACGGACGTGGCGATCTGGCTCTGCCGCCTGGGGTTGTTGGCGTTGACCCGGTGCTGTTGGAGGAAGCTGAGGAGCAGAAGGTAGGAGGCCAAGATGATGGCCAGGGGCAGCACGAAGGCCACCAACACCTTCTGGAGGTGATACACCCCTAGCCACCGGTTGGTGGGGAACTTGAGCAGGCACAACTCTACCCCGACCACATCTGTCACCGTGGCAAAGATGGCGGTGGGTACGGTGGCTCCCAAGGCCATGGCCCAAAGAGCCACGGTGATCCACTTGGCCAGGTTGGCGGTTAGCTTGAGGCCGGGCCTGACGGCGGAGGCCACAGAACAGTAGCGGGTGACGCTCATGGTGGTGAGCAGGAAGACGTTGGCGTAGACGCTCAGGACGGTCAAGGTGAGGACCAGCTTGCACATGGCATTGCTGAAGGGCCAAGTGAAGTCCAGGGCCGTCTCCACCGCCCAGAAGGGCAGGGTCAGGGCGAAGTGGAAGTCGGCCAGCGCCAGGCCGAAGACGAAGACGTCTATGGCGGAGGCCGGCCTGCCCTTCCGGGCCCGGACCAAGTACATGACCATGGAATTGCCCAGCAGCCCCATGGCGCACACCACCAAGTAGACGCTGGAGATGAGGATCCGCAGGCCGAAGATCCCATCTGCTGGGACGGAGGCCGCATCATCCCCGCTCAGCTCCCAAGAGTCCAGCAGAGATTTGTTCCCAAAGTCGGACCGTGCCGAGCTGTTCAACCGCCCGATCCCCACTGCCTGCATGTTCAACACACTCTCCTCCCAGCTGGGGGGTAGGGGTTGTGGCACTGAGGACGCACAGCACCTGGCACGCGGCAGAGGAGAGCGGCCCCTCTGCTCACCACGTGGCCGGCGCAGCCATCCTCGCCCGAAGCCAGCCCATTCCCCGTCAGTGCTCTTCCACGCAGCTCTGCTCACCCTGAGTGCACACGCCGCTGGGTCCGCGGCACGGGAACAGGGACGGCCCCACTCAATAAGCCAGCAGCGGCTCGCACAGCCGGGAGGGGGAATCCTTCAGGCCCGGGTCGGCCCTTGAGCGCCTGAATCACCCCAATCCACCCCTCGTAATCAACGCAGGCTGGCCGATCTCCTCTCTTCTGCGCTCCTGAGTCCAGCTGCACAGGGGGTGTGGACTGAACTGTGCAAGGCAGGAGAGCTGCCTTGGGTGTGTATGTGACACTCTAGCGACTGAAGGCCGGCCCTCCTGAGGGGCAGGGCAAGACTCCTCCTTCGTTCCTGGGGCAGGTGGAACAAAGGTACCTCTTCCCCCCCCACCCACACTGCTGGACTCTCTGTTCGGCTGTTTATCTGCAGCCACTGTTAAGGTGAGACTTTCGAAGCCACCGCTGGTGCATGCAGCAAGCCCGGCTGGAGCACCGGCCCTGGGGTGACTCAGGAGTGAATGAGCCAGTGGGGTCTGATTCTCCATTGGCCCTGCCGTGGCTAGCACCCCCTTTGTGCTGGTCTAAGTCACTGCACCAGGTGACTAATCTAGTTACCCTGGAGGTAGGGAGATCAGAATCAGGCCCAGCGTGTGTGTGTGGGGGTGGGGAGGGGGTATTTTAAAGGGCCAGTGTCAGGACAGCTGGCGTTTGGGTCCCACAGGTTTTTTGTCGAAACAAAATTCTAATGTCAGTACCAATGTTGCCCTGAATTTAAATTCCAATGGAAACAAATCAAACTTCCCTCAGCCTGGGGGGGTTGCAACGTAACCATTGCGCGGCTGTTGTGTTAGGGCAGGAGACTGAACGATGACCTGGGCACTTTGCAAGCAGCGCTCCTTCCCTGCAGCCAGGGAACGGGCACAGAGAAGGGTCTTGACTTGCTCAAGGTCACCCAGCAAGCCGGTGCCTGGTGAGTCGGCGTGCCCTGCTCCATCCACTAGACACTGCTGCCTCGCTGGGCGGTTGTGGCCCACTCCTGGCTCTGACCCTAGAAGGCCTGGGGTGGGGAGGGGCCTCTTTCTGTGCCTCAGTTTCCCCATCTGTCAAATGCTTTATAATCTCTGGTTTAAAAAAGTGCTAGAAGTGGAGAGGAGAAACTGACTGTATGGAAACTGACCAGTGCAGTGTCTCTGCCCCCCGAGACACACCATGCTTGTCAACGGCAAACTCCTGCTGATTTCTGCCAGGTTAGGACCCCCAGGTCTGACCCGTGATTTCTAATCAGGCACTGTCCCTTTAAGTGTATCTCCAACGTCCAGGTGATTGTGCTCCGGGCAGCTGATCAAAGCCTGGGAGTGCCCTAGCTCGCTTTTTTCCCTGGGAAATCCTGGATTTAAGGGTGCTGAGGGGCGAGCGCCCCTTGCAGCCCCTATCTTCCGCCAACGGGCCGTGCCTAGAGCCCGGCAACCCAACAGGACTACGAGTGCCGGCTGGGAAAAGAACCAGATCCCCTCCCGCTCTGCAGCCCCTACAGCATAGCAGAGGCAGTGGCCGGCAGGGGCATGCAGTGACCCCAGGGGCAGGAGGAAGTTGCGCTGCTCAGGGGGTAGGGCTGGGTTTGGGTGGGGCCTAAAAACTAGGCCGGGGAGGCCTTTCCTGGGGGGACCCCCTGGCCTAGCTATTTTGGGTATTGGGATGGCTCCCATTACGGCACCAGCTGAACGCCTCACTGTCTTTGACGTATCACAGCCCCCCGGGAGGCAGGGCAGTGCTGCTCTCTCCATTGTCCAGATGGGAAACTGAGGCACCACGCCACCTAGCGACTCTCCCACAGGGAGTCTGTGGCAGAACTGGGCCTTGGACCCGAGTTGCAGGCTAGTGTCCTAACCCCTGGCCCATCCTCCCTCCAGCCAGTCCTTGATCTCTGCCGAGGCTGTAAACAAGGGAGCCAGTTTTGTGCTGGTGACAGCTGAGGCCTGGCCTTTCGTCTCGCCACCGGGTGCCATCTTGAGAGTTTTGGGATCCCAACCTCCTGAGAGCCTGGCGCCGAGAGTGTCCCCGGACAGCTGAGCCCTCCTGTCCCCCGCACCTGTCTCTCCGCCGGACACCTTAACAGGACGATAGCAACCAGCTTCAGGGCAGTTTCTTCTGCCCTTGCCAGTGATTTAACATGCGGTGATTGCCTGGTTTGTTTGAGTTGGCAGCAATAAAGTACCTGGCAATCCCGGGTGACGAAGGAGGCCTGCAATCCGTTTGAGCACACAAAGCCCCAGGTTTATGAGGGCTAAGGCCGAGCAGAGCACCTCAGACCCGATCCCAAGCGTCTCAGCTCCCTGCAAACCCTGGACGTGACAGAGCACCTAGAGCCCAGAGGTTTGCAGTGGCGTAGGAGTCATGTTGGTTGCAGGATACGAGAGACATACTGAGGGTGACGTGACACCTTTTATTGGACCAACTTCTGGTGGGGGAAGGGACCAGCTTCCGAGCATCACGGAGCTCTTTCTCAGGGCTGGAGCAAGTAACGTGGGGCTCCACGCTAAGTTCAAGGAGGGAGCAATTGTTGGGTGACAGGTGTTGTAGGAGACCACTTAAAAGCGAGCAATTAACACCTCTGCAGTCCTAGGACAATGGAAGGTTAGTAGCAGAACTTAATTTGTGCCGGCTTTGCCGGGCTCACCGGTGCAGCTCCGGCACCAGCGGTGTTGTCCTAAATCCGAAAGTACCGGAGGCCACGCCATGCGGAGGACACCAGCTTGTCCTCCGCGCAGCATCGCCGTACGTGAGCCCCGGCCCCTCGTTCTTTACAAGTGGTTAGCAGGCTGTAGGGCGTGCTATAAATGGTTGTAATGGGCCACAGTGTCTCAGATCAGTCCCTGGTTTTGAGCCTCCGGCAGAATTGACATTCTCAGGCTCGTGGGTGGAAGGGGCTGTGCGGGTTTCCTTTGTCATGGGCATGCCCATGCTGAGACCCACCAACCGGCATGGCCCCGTGGCTAGGGGCTAGAATGGGAGTTAGGACTCTAGCCTCTCAGTGACTTGGATGCGTCGCTTCTCTCCACTCCCCCTGGGTAACGAGTGAATGACGATGCTTGCGCTCCTTTCCCACGTGCTAGCTGGCTGGACGGTGCCAATGAGAGCTTGATGCTGTTACTAAACCCTATTATCTTATTGCAGTCTGGTTCCCCAGATCTATCCTGCAGAGGGAGGGGTGCATCTCACCTCAGCTGCCCTGGGGTCATGCTGCCCTCTAGGACTGGTTGGGATTCATCAGGAAAATGGCCCTCACTGCATGCATGTCCGTCTCTCCCCATCCCGTGGAGCACAGGAAGGATGGCGCATTGGTGAGGGGGCCAGGAGTGCTGGATTCCCGGCGCAGCTCTGCCACAGACTCGCTGTGAGAGCTTGGGGACGTCACTTAGCTGCTGCGGCTCGATGTTAAAAACAGGAGCAACGGTCCCTATTTCACAGGGGTGCGAGGAGGTTAAAAGTTGGGGAGGTGCCCAGATACTACGGGGATGGGCACCAAATAAATATGGAAATTGGGTTCCCAATCTGCCCGTCTTCCTCTTGCGTGGGGGTGCTGCCCTCTGCTGGTGGATTATTTCATGAGCGAGGCTCCTGGCCCAGCCCGGAAATTGACCCTGTTTCCCGAACAGTTTCAGTTTAGAGATGAATCGGCTTGTTCACAAAAAACTCCCAGCCAGCGCTAGTCCGAGTATATGTGTGTGTCAAGGGGGAATGCGTGTGTGCCTGTGTGTGCGAGTGTATCTCGGGGTACAGGTTGTACGGAGCCCATATGTTTTGGGTGTCTAACAAAGCCATGTCTGTTCTCTACAGAGCCCACCAGGCCTCCTCTGTGATGTCCAAGCAGGTCAAATAGGGGCAGGGGACAGGATTGTCTTGGAAGTTTGATCTGTCCCCCCTCGTGTGTTGTTCCCCTGCTCATCGTCCGTGCGGGCTCTGCTTAACGAAGAATGCAAACTCTGGAGCATGGTCCCAGTGCCTCCGTCGGACCCTGGCACTAACCGGCGTCTCTAATGGAGCCGAGGCTGCAGTTGCTTCTGGTGGCATGGCAGGAAACGTCTCTCCTTTTAAACCCCGGAACGAACGCTCTCGGAGATCAGATCTTGGGCAAGCCCAGGCTGGGCCTGAGCCATCAGCAGGTGCGCGGGAGGCGGCGAGGGGAGGGGACGAGGCTGGCCCTCGAGGCAGAAGGATTAGCTTCAAACGCTCCCCAGACGCAGCACGTCTCTTCCCTTTGACAGCCGGTGCTGAGTCCCTCTGGGGCGCTGGTCCATGGCCGTCCTCAACGCCGGGGACCCCGGCCTGCTCTCTCGGGCCCCCATCCTGAGAAGCGAGGGGTGCGGCTTGGGGATGGTGTGAGCCCGGCGCTCGCCCTGGTGCAGGTGGGTTTCTCGACGGCGGGGAGGCACCCTGGAGCGGGACGGTGGGCACCATGAAGAAGATGTTCTCCTGTTCCACCTCGCAGGTCGCGGTGAGTCAGTGCCGCCGAGATCTTCCCCTTGCCCTGAGCTGGCCGGCGTGGAGGGGCTGAGCCCAGTGGAGGGTTTATTGCCCTAAGAAAGGAACATTCCTGTGTGCTACAGAAGAGCCCTGAGCCGCAGTAGCCTATGGGAGGCGTGCCTACAGTACCCCCGTGGGAATAGCCCCGTACCTACACTGCCCTCCTTGGCAATCGCCCCATACAATGCATATGCTATGGTACTGGTTCTCCCAGTGACTGCCGCACCCGCCAGGTGTTAAGGGGTCTGCCCCCCGTGCTGTGCTAAGCAGGCAGGGGGGCTCAGCTCTCTGGGAGGAGGGGGCTCTTAGGGTGGCCAAAGACCGAGAGCCCCTGCGCTAGTCTCTGACCGTAGCCCCCTGCTGCCGTATGGGGTGGGAACCGCGCTGTGCTCTCGCCCATAGGACTAGCCCACACCAGCAGTATCTTACGGAGCTAGCCCTCGGGGACGGCATTTCCCAGCCCGGCCCTTCTGCCCCTGGACTGCAGGGTAAGGGTCCTACAGGCTGGGGCTGACTCTGCGGCCCGCGTTTGGGGGCGGGGGTGATGGGAGAGGAAGGACCGTGCCAATGGTCAGAGCCCTAGCTCGGTCCCACGTCAATTCGCAGCTCTGCTCCGGATCCCTGGGGTGACCCTGGCCAGCATTGAGGGTTCAGAGCAGCCAGCGGGGCTGGTGCCCCCGAAATCAAGGGCTCAGAGCCGCTAGTGAGGCCCTCGGAGTCTGTCCCCCTTTGCTTAGGGGGCCCCTGGGAAGCAAATCAAACCAGAAATTTCTCTGCACGGAGTCTCTCCCCCTTTGTTCGCTGTCGCCCCCGAGCCTCGGCTCTTCCTGCCCATGGGGTGAATGCCATGCAGTTCCCAGCCTGTCTTCGCTCTGCATCGCATGCAGCGATCTGGGTTTGGCAATGGGAGCCAGCGTCCGGGCCTGACAAACCGGAATGGCGGAGTGGGTTCATTACTCAGTCAGCCAGGGGCTGTTGCATCTCCAGGGTGTTCCCGGGCTTGGTACAGAAGCCAGGGGCCAGTCCCCAGGGGAGTGGGGACGTGAAGCTGTAAAGATCCCGTTGGGGACTCGGTGTTCTCTGCCCCCCACCCTCGACAGAAGTTACCCCAACACCTTTGCCTTGTGGCTCCTGTACCCAGCAGTGCAATGAGGCATTGCAGGGTCCACCGGGGATCTCCAATCACTTGCCTGTTAGTAGGTATTGGGTGCTGCACATCTGTATCAGGGACAGATGTGTTGGTCCTCTGGTCCCACATCTTTAATACACTCCATAATAGCGAATAACCAATTAATAATCATTTCCTTTTATAGCATCCTGAAGGATCCCAAACTTCTTTACAGATAGGTATAGTGTAATGACCCCTCCTATGCACGTGCCTGCCCTCTGCTGGTTGGAATTGGAACTGTGTGTCATGGACCCTATACTGCCAAAAAGTTAAAGGATATTCTCCTTCATCTAAAGTGGTAAGGGGATGGTCCTGGGAGCAGGAGGATCTAGTTCTAGTCCTGTTGTTGCTGTGACGATCCCAAGTGGCAAAGGATTGTTTACAGTTAATTAGTGTCGGCCCAACTTACCAAACGCTACGTTAATAGAAGGTTGGTGATAATAATTTGCATGTCTATGGCATCGTTAATCGGAGCACCTCAGAGTTCTCTACACGATGCATTAGGGTGTGACTGTAGGGGGTAGGGAAGCATTATTGTCTTCATTTTCCAGGGAGGGCAACTGAGGAACAAAGAAGTGAAGTGATGAGTAAGTGGATGTGGTAGGCATGGTCCTGATGTCCAATGTTATGTGCTAAACGCGTCCCAACCAGAGAGTCCTGCTCTAACCATTAGGAAACACTTCTTTCAAGACCTGGGAATGGAACCCAGGAGTTCTGTTCCCACTCTAACCATTGGATCACACTCCCTCCAAGGTATGGAACCACTAGACCGCACTCATATGCCAGCGAAACAAGCAAACAATTGCTTGGCTTCTCTTTACTGTCGAGAGACAAGGTGGGGAAGGTAATATTTTTTACCTTGCCTCATTGATATCCTGGGACCCACAGGGCTACAATTACAGTGCGTGCAAGAAACAAAGCGAGCAGGCAACTAGACCCCGTTCCCCGCTTGAACACTCTGACCGGGCATCCCACCCTGTGGTTATTTTCCCACTGCAGCCCTCATCTGAGATACAGGGTAATTAGGATTTGAGCAATCATGGGGTGTGTTGTCCTTGTGTAATAATACACACACACACACACATGCTCAGGGTGTGTAGGCGGGTGTGGAATGTTAATCACCAACTACCCAACGCTCAGGCTCTGCGGGTCCATTAATACTCCATGCTTGTGCAATGATTAGGGCACTAACGACCCAGGGTTCAGTCCCGGCTCTGCCACAGACGCCCTATGTGACTTGGGCAAGTCAGTCAGTCTCCTTGTGCCTCAGTTTCCCCTCTGTACAATGGGGAGGATAGCCTCCCTGCCTCATACAGGGTGGGTATGAGGATAAATGCATTAAATACTGCGAGGTGCTCAGATACTGTGGTGGTGTGAGCCGGATGAGTACGTCAGACAGATAGGTTCTGATAGTTAAAAAAAACCAAACAGACTTAGAGCCAAATTGAAGCCCTAGTGTAAACAGATGCGACTCCAATGGATTTGCTCCCATCTGCTCTCCCATGGCTTAATTTATCCCTGTGTTTTCACCCCCCAGGCCAAAGTTGTCTGTGAGGGAGTTAAGTAGATGGGGAAACTGAGTCACAAAGCGAGGCAAGGACTTGCCCGAGACCACAGATGATGATAAAAAAAAAGTCTAGCTCTTCCATAGCAGCTTTTCATCCATTGATCTTAAAGCCCTTTACAAAGGAAGGCGAGTATCGCTGTCACATTTCACCCAGTGGGGAAACTGAGGCACAGAGCTTCTGGTTCTTGCTGCTGACCTCAGCCCATTAGACCGCACTTGTGTCTCTATCTTATGTCTTGAATGATCTACACTTCTGGACTGAGTAAGACTCACTGCGTTTGGTCTTTTGATCTGATCCTTCTTTCTCTTATTTTTTCCTGTATTAATGAATACACCAGAACGTCTTCTGTCATGTCTCTTTACCAGCTGGTTAAACACTCACTTAACCACTCAGCGCTCGCTAAACCTGGGTGTAATGCTGCCATTGCCTTCCCCTGTCATTAGGATGTCCTGCAGCTTTCCTGATTAAGCATGTCTCAAATAAGAAACGTGGCATTTAACCATAGGGGCCAAATATTTCCTCTAGGGCCCTACCACATTCATGGTCCGTTCTGGTCAATTTCACAGTCATAGGAACTTAAAAATCATAAATGTCATGATTTCAGATCTTGAAATCTGAAATTTCAGGGTGTTGCCATTGTAGGGGTCCTGTCCCAAAAGGATGTGTGTGTGTGTGTGTGTGTGTGGGGGGGGGTTACAAGGTTATTGTAGGGGCGTCATGGTATTGCCACCCTCACTTCTGCACTGCTGCTGGCGGATCGCTGCCTTCAGAGCCGAGCACCTGGCCAGCAGCTGCCACTCTCCGACCACCCAATTCTGAAGGCAGCGCAGAAGTAAGGGTGGCAATACCATGGCCCCCCTACAGTAACCTTGCAACTCTCCCATGACCCCTTTTTGCGTCGGGACCCCCAGTTTGAGACACACTTGTTTCCCCCCATGAAATCTGTATCATGTAAGGTAAAAGTACCCAAAAGACCAGATTTCACGGGGGAGTCCAGATTTCAAGGTCCGTGATGCGTTTTCCACGGCCGCGAATTTGGTAGGGCCCTAATTATCGTTGTTAAACCCCTAGGGAATGGCACTCCTGATGACAAGCCTGCAGCTATAAATAGACAATTGGCAATCCTTAGCTGAAAGGTGGTGTGTATGGTAAAGGCACCATGTTTTCTTTGTGCATCACACGCACCGGAATAATAGCTAGTGTCTTGAGAGCTAATGAACTGTCACTCCCCTTTGTGTTATCCTCTCCCTTTGGGAGAGCAGGAAACTGAGGCACAAAGGAAGAGGTGGGTTGTCCCAGGTTACACAGGGCTCGGCTTTTGTAGAAACTGGCCTGGACACTCCTCGCATATTTGTGGTTTGCTGTAGATTAATCCCTAAGGAAAGCCACGGAGGGTTGGGGGAGTGTCCGGACGAGCCTTCACAAGCTTGGCGACGCCCTCGAGTTAATTTGCAATCAAGTCACTGGAGGGAAAAGCTCCAGTGTAGACGTACTCAGTGAGTAGGTGATAACCGTGGGTTTAGAACGCAGGCCACCTCGCTCCCATCCCCTGTTTAGTCCATACTGCCTTTGCTCAGCCATTCGGCACGCAGAGGTGGTGTGGGCTGCCCTAGCTTGTAGGGTGAGTCACTGGCAGCCATGGGATTAGAACTCAGGACTCTTGGCTCCCACGCCTGTGCTTAGCCCGTGGGAGCCCTGGCTCTGTTTGGCCATGCTGCCCTGTCTCCACCAGCCCGGCCCGCTCTCACTTGCTCCGTGACGCTCTCTTCGAATCAGGTCGAGAGCTGGAACAAACACGACCAGAAGCTTTTCGAAGCCGTCGAGAAGGGGGACGTGGGCCGAGTTGCCGTCCTGGCTTCCAGAAAGACCGCGAGACCCACCAAGCTCAACGCCCTTGGCCAATCTGCGTACGTAAGTTTTCTTGTCCTCTTCCCTCCCGCTAACCCAGCTGTTTCTAACCATACCCCAAAGGCCGGCGCTCAGGCGATTAATTCCCACCAAGCCAGGACAAAGCCCAGCTCCCTTCCAATCACATCTCCCTACCTAGTGAGTGTCACTTTAAGATAGGGACGTAGGATTTGCTTCATGCACCAGATCATAACACTGGCACATCGGGCCAAACATCCCTCCCAACCCCATCTTCCTATTCCAGCCCAGCCCATTGGCCAATCCAGTCCAGCATCCCCACCTTCTGCCATACCACACCTGCCCGTTGACAAGTGGGGTGGTCTTGTGGCCAAGGGCATTGGGCCGGAACTCAGGAGACATGGCTCTGCCATTGACCTTGGGCAAGTCATGGCTGCTCTCCGTGCCTCGGTTTCCCCACCTGTAAAATGGGAAGAACAATCCTTTCTCCCACTCTTTGTCTGGTCTATTTAAAGTCTAAGGTCTTCAGGGCAGGGACGCTAACTCTGTGTCTATACAGCAACTAGCACATTGGGGCCCTGATCTCAGCTGGGGTCCTCAAGTTGCTTCTGGATTTTAAAAAGAGGAAGAATAACTAGAGCATGAGGTCTAGTTTCCCTCCCTCCTACTGTACCAGAGCAAAGCTTTGATCTCATCTAGCCAGCTGTCTCCAGCCTGCCCCTAACAGAGATCACACTGAAGGCCATGGGTAGGGGGGTGGGGTGGGGAATGAAATCCCCATAATGCATCTGGCTAATTGTGCAATGCAGCACATGGTAGCTGATAGTTCCTTCCTGAGCCGCTGGTGCCCTGAACCACAGGACTTGACTGTCCCTATCTTACACCACATGCCCACAGACGTTATCTTCCCATTAACATGAGCAACGTGCTGCAGTACCGGATGGCACTGCCGGTTGTGCAGCTGGTGCTGGTTGGCAGCGCATCAAATGATGAGTAGCCCCTTCACCCAGCAAAGGCTGCATAGACATGGCTGCCACTGGTGCCATAGGTACTAACTAGATCTAGGAATAGAACCCAGGAGTCCTGGCGCCCTGTTCCCTGCTCTGACCACTTGCTTATGCTCCGCTTCGACCTAAGAATAGAACCCCAGAGGCCTGGCTCCTTATTCCTGCTCTAATCAAAATAGCTCACGCTCCCCTGCCAGGAATAGAACCCAGGAGTCCTGTTCCCTGCTCTGACCAACTAGATCCCACCCCCTTCCCAGAGGTTGGAATAGAACCCAGGAGTCCTGGCTTCCTTACCCTTGCTCTAAGCATTAGACACATCAGGGGTTCTCCCACAGTCCTCTCTAGGAAGCAAGCGGGAGTTTCTCTCTGACGATGACTTTAGGGTGGAACGTTCGCTGCTCCCCAAGAATATGGCTCGCTCGGTGAGTTTCTCGCCGGGCCCGCAGTGAGTCCTGGCTCTCCGCCTCTTTGCAGGTTCCATCTGGCAGCTTCCAAAGGGCTCACCGAATGTCTGACCATCCTGCTGTCTCATGGGGCCGAAGTCAATGAGAAGAATGACGACGGTACGTGTAGGGATTTCCCCGGCTCGGCGGAGGAGCAGAGAGTGCAGGACTGGCCTGGACTGATGCTCCATCTAGGCCAGTGTTTCCCAAACTTGGGACGCCGCTTGTGTAGGGAAAGCCCCTGGCGGGCCGGGCCGGTTTGTTTACCTGCCCCGTCTACAGATTCGGCCGATTGTGGCTCCCA